TACCCTAGGGCAAAGTTTAAACACGTTTAAGCACATTTAAACACGTTTAAATGTTTATAACACTGTAAAAGTACATATTATTATATTTAGAAAGATCTATAAAATATAGGTCATTTGCAAAAAGGTTGGATTAATTTTTGTAATTAAAACACAACAAATATTAAATGAAGAGATGAAAATTTGAACTGATTTACTTTCGATATACAGGTGTAATAAATCTATATTATCTAGTATTAAACTCATTCGATGTAGCGGTACGTGGCTCGCAGCGTTGGTAGGAAATAGCATTGACCGCTTACAGACGTTTAGGTATAGGCAATTAAGCCTACCCTAAAGTCTGTAAGTCGGCGAAAATATTTTACACTTTTTACACGTGCGTAGCTGAATAGGCTACCCTACCATAAACGCTGCCAGCCATGTCCCGTTAAGGCGTCTTCGGCCGCACGGTCAGCGCGGCTCGGAAAAAACATTACAAATTAGAAATGCACAATTTTTCCCCTACCAAAAAATCGAGGCGACGTTGGAGAAGGGAACTAGCTCCACCCTCGAAGTTTCTAAGGGGTAACGCCTTTCCGAAGACTAGGATAAATAAAGCGGAAAGGCGCGAGGAAGCACATTACATTACATTACATTACATTACATTACATTACATTACATTACATTACATTACAACACATTACCCGTTCTGCCTCCAAACACTCATCTACGCAAATAAATAACTTGTAAACATATTTGTCGCGAGTATTAAATAACACTCTACATTCCGACATTCGATTTGAACTATTATAATAATAGTTTCAACTATCTCATAAGATGCCTGGGTAATTACCTGAGTACATGGATATCTTATAGCTACCGATTCGCATACTCGAATATTTCACATATCTGATTAATTCCTTGCACTACTTTACGCTTACTTGTGATCGCAATTTCGAACCAAACATAAATGTCACAAATGAAACTCGAAGTCACAGCATAAGTGAGATATCGGTCGTTATTATGGTCCGGATTTTGTCCAGCTAAATTGCAGCCCAAAGAGTTAGAGATATTAGTTATATAAAAAAAACGTACAGTTCAGTTTAAAAAATATAAATGCCTTTGAAATATCGTAAAAAGCACCTTGAAAAAATTCTTTTCGTCACCATCATCATCACATGTAATTTTTGAAATAGTATAATTTCACCCTCGGACATTTTTTTAGAGAACCAAAAATAATGAAGGTATTTAAGCGTTTTTGTTTAAATAAAATATCCTATACAGGGTGTTGAAAATGTCTTATTATTTCTATAATATCTGGGTTCTACACCTCTGGATCGGCGGAAATGCGTTTAAAAAGTTGTTACAAGATTGGCCTTTAGCATAATATTAGCCTTAGCATAATGTTCAAGGTCAAAATTTTCTTATCGCAATATATTCTGTTCATTATGAGAATGGTCGTACACTTTTTCTGAATTAATTTTAAATTTCAATAAATTCTCGATATCATTTTACGTGGGACGTGATTATATTCTCTGGTTAGGTGTAATGAGAATTGCATTGTCGTATACAGTGTGGAGCACGAAACGTGATCAGTTTAAATTATTCTGCTGCTAGCGATTCGATCGGAAATTTTTTAGCTAAAATAACATGGTTCAAGGAAAGCTTTAAGTTGATTCTACCAAATCTTGTGTCAACCCTATTCTTTCAGAATTATTAAAGTTACCTTCAATTTTTTACAGGTAAACCTACCATTTTTTTACATCCACTGTTTGAGGATTTCAACAAGCATCATAACAAATAATTTTTTCTGAATCTAGAAAAACTGAAGAAAATTTTTAATTAGAAGAGTTTTGCAAGATTTTTAGAGACTATTAAAGAGGAATAGCAAGCCACACTGTTGTACACTTTCTAGAGCTGTTGATAGATTAGTATTAGTCATTATTGACTTCAGCCTTCGCGTTCTGTTGGTAAACATTTCGTTCTGTACCTTGAGATACATTTAATGATATCGAACGTGAAGTGTTAATAGTGATATGCGTGTACTGAAGGTGACCTTGATAATTCTGGAAAAAAGGGTTGACATAAAATTTAATAGAATCATCATCTTAAAGCTCACCTTGAACCAGGTTATTTTAATTAACAAAATTCCCGATCGAATCGCTAGTAGCAGAGTAATCTAAGCTGATCACGCTTCATGGTCCACCCTGTATGGATATCGTAGAATCGCCATCACATATCCCTACCTTTTTTCTTCCTTGCTACTTAACAGAATTGCCTCGCAAAGTGATTATTCCGCGCTCGATAATACGAAGCAAACACGTTTCTCTGAAGAATCCGCTTCGTAATGAAATTGGATTGAACAGCAGAAAAGGAAAAAATGGCAAAAAATAATAATAGAACAAGAATATCTAATAGTGATTATACGGTGTCTCAATACGACAGTACAATTATCATTACATTTGAAACAGAATGTGAGCACTTTACACATTGATATCGGAATTTATTAACCTTGAACATTTTTTTCCTCATAAGTAACGATCGAGTTTTAACTCACGGTTTCTTTAACCAGTTAACTGCATTTGTCACGCATACACGTTATCTTAAAGTTTGAAATGATACTAATTCTTCCAACGATGAATTCTTAATTTTTTCAGATAAACCTGTAATTCTTCTTTATTTCGCTTTGGTTTTTCATTAAAATATGCCATAGATGCCTTCGTCCTGCGTTTGACATATTTTATTTTTTGATTTTATTGCGTGCAAAATAAGAGATTTTTTAAACTAAATTCGACAGTTCACAGATTGACACTTTTTTCATCATTATGAGTAAAATGCATTGGATTTAAAAAAAGATGTTGACTTTGAAAATCATGCTAGAGGTCAATGTTAGTGCAATTTCTTTAAACAAATCTCCACCGTTACAGGCATACAGAATTCGCCGACCACACCAACAATAAAATACTTTTAAACATTCTGCGGAAGGAGTGTTATAACATGCGGAATTCACAAGCGATGGATGAGGTTTTCATGGGCAATAAAATAAGTTTCCGTAAACCTATACCCTTTATGATCTTGCCCCTGTATAGTGGATGCTCACCTTTATAGCGCGCGTTTAAAATAGATACTTTCTCTGTAATTATAAACTTGCCGCAGTTGTCTGTTTATAGAATTTTCCAATCAATCAAACATACTCTTTCAGAAGGAAAAGTTATCAAGCATCATACGGGGTTAATTTAAAAGAGTCCTTTATGCTAGATGATTTTCTCAAGCAAATAGTGTTTTTTCCTCTAAAATTATATAGTACTGATTATAGATACTGAAGACTCTAACAAAGAAATCGGCAAATGCTTCTTATTGGTGTTTAAGATTGTCACAATCCAGTAAACCGAAACATCGATGATAAAATTCTCCTCGTTTTGTCGAATAAGAATACTCCCGCTTTATAATCTGTGGTTTCATTCGTACTGTTACGACATACTGCACCATTAGTGCTTTATATTGTGCGCTGTATTATAGTCTCAACAATGACTTGCCCTCGTAAATACGGTTTTCCGCGGGAAAAATAAGTATGTTCACATGGTACGGTGATAGGAAAGGTTCTTTACGTTAACGTATTAAAATATTCAATTTCAAATCATCCGATGATGAAACATTTGATCACTGTGCATTTACTGAAACTTGTACGAACACATTAAGAGATCTTACATGACATTCGAGAAACAAAAGGTTAATATCCATAATAATATGATGGTATGGTTTATATGATGTGTCTTCACCATTCTATTATTATAATAGGCTTTACATAAAGCCCATTAAAATGTGAGAGATTTTAAACCTGTAAAAATGTTTATACTTGACGGTGAACGCGAATTGTTTTTCGGAGCACTATTTTAACTGTTACTTTATATTTAAGGTCAGAGATTGCGCATATGAGGTTAAAATGTAGAGGAACATAAAGAGTGTTGCTCTTGGCAAAGCCATTACTGTCACCGAATTTGCTTCTATTCCGATAAAAAATAATGGATTGATTGCAAATTACCTCAGTTGTCACAAAAAAAGAAAAATAAAGTAAAATCCAGCATTGACTGCATCGCAATGAGTATAAATTTTAAGTTTACCGATCTTATACATTGGCAAAGAATACTTTTGGAACTCTGCAGATTTGTAGAAGATTTTAACAGAAGTATCAAGCTACCATTTTCAGTTACTTTTTAGTTCTTCAGAAATAACGTAATTTCTAAACAATTAATTTTTCTTTTTGCATTTTGTATATCTTAACCCTCCGCTGGCAACACGATTTTTCACCAACATGGCTAGCAATATGGAGTAGTTACAGGCAGGCTTGATTTGTTATACTTGTGTGTCCAATAGAAATCTGAAAAATTTCTAAGATGCCTATTATAGTCTCTAATTTAATTAACAAATTACTCTTTAGTGAAATCTTTATATCGTTTTGCAGTAAAAATCGTGGTGAAATCATGAAAAAATAAGAGTGTCAAAGAGCCTATAACAATCCATGTTGCTGGCGGAGGGTTAAAAATAATGTCTTAATGATATCAATGTTTAAAATTAATAAATTTTAAAAATTGTTTAGTTACTTTTGCTAACAAAATTTAGCTCATTTTTAATTTCTATTAATACAGTGCGTTTTAATTTTTAAACAATTTCAACAAAACTTTTTAACAATTTTATTATATTGTTTTATAGAGTTTCTGTTTCTTTTTAAAGTTTTTATATATGTATATAGATTCTGAAGTATATCTGGAAAAGAAAAAGGCGCGTACTATTTAAATGGTGTTTATGTCTCAGAGAAATATCTAAAAGTATGACAAGGAAAATTGTCTGGTATTTCTATTCAGACTTCTTATAAACTTACAGAATTTTAAAAACGTCATGACGCGTCAGAACTGTTGAATTATTGAAGGTTCTTCGTTAATGTCTTTTTGTATAGATACATGCTGTATGAAAAATATCTTGAGCAAAAAGGGAAAAATTGAATATTTTTCTTCTTTGCATATCAGATCGACCAGTAGCAGAAATTGTGCAGGATCATGGACTCGAGTTCTTCCATCCTCGCATCCTGCCGTGAAGGATGTTCAACAAAGAGACATCCACGAGGTATCGGGAGATGTCATCCCGATAAATATGGTAAAAGGTATCGGTCATTTACGAGATCCCCGACTTAATAAGGTGAATATTTAATAATCCCTATGAAAATTGTAACAATAGATTATTTGCGGTTTCTTCGGACATTCATTATAGTATTCAAGTGAAACTATTTTCAAAATCATTTCGAATATTCTATGTTTTTAAGATATCGATAATTGCTAAACAAAAAAACGAAACCAATCATTTTTACTGGTACTTAGTTCTAGTGTTAAATGTCGGTAAATTTTAACGTCTCACATGGATGCTTTTATTATTAAAAGAGGTTCGAAAATATCAGATCAAAAATATCTTCACATGTTTAGGACTTTAGTAGAAGATATACCCTGTTTAATCCTTAAGAAACGATATCGATAGGTAGATAAGCACTTACTGGGTACTAACTCTAATATTATTCCAATAGTCTTTACTTTTTTATCCCTTTTACTTTCTAGAATTAAAGATAGCTACAAGAAATATCAAAAAATCATATTTATCAACAAATTGTGGTTATATTTCTACCGGAGAATGAAGAATTTAATAAAATTCAAATATTGGGTCATTCCACAAATAATGCGATTGATTATATTTCTTTTGTTTTAAAAAATAAAGATAAACAAATTTGTTTTTAATTTAAAATATATTCTCCATTATCTTCTACAAATTGTCTATCTATGCATTATAATTATTTTAAAAAATGTTTTGTTTATATTTATT